AAGATACACTGTGGTTTAAAAAATATATTTTCTTCAATTCTTTGTCTAGTTTTTCTGTAATCTGACACATACACACATCATTGTGACTTTAATGCTGTGTGGAATTTAGGTTAGTCTATTTAATGTAATGTTTTATACTTGATCATTATATTCTTTCAAAACATGAGGCCTTTAATGTACCGTCAATGAAGAAATAGGTATTTATTGCTATTATGAATGGTTTTTTAAAACACTTGAATTTGTTGATCATTTGCCACATGGAAAGTTTATTAAGTTGAGATATGTGCCACTTTCAACAGGAGCCCAGAAAAAGTAGAATTGCCATGGAGTTCAGTGTGGGGCACATTAGTGCCCAGTGTTGCCTGGCCTGCCTGTAATTTCATGACTCTCAGACTGCACCCCATGTTGTTTGCAGGCTATACATTTTGTGGTGGTTCTGAAATAGCTTGCATAGCAGAGGCTATGTAGTTCATTAATCAAACATGATAAAAGATTACTTCAAAATGCCTACCTTCTCTAAGTGCACCACAAACATGCTGTAATAAAGCTTCCCCATTGATTTAAGAGAGTCTCAGAAGAAGCTGTACTAAGTAGATGCAGAACATCTTTGGGAAAAAAAATTAGAGTTATCAAATGCTTAGTAAGTAAAGACTATGGCCATATTACAGTCTTAGTGGTTTTGCGTAGGAAAGAAGGAAAGCGTAGTTTACCGTTAACTAGTTACTATTACTGTTCAGTTAACCGAGATTTGGTATATTACTAACAAAAATTATCTTAATTTTCAAAACTTTATTTATTTAGCATTTATCTTTAGATAGAGAGGGGGGAAGAGAGAGAGAGAGAGAGAGAGAGAGAGAGAGAGAGAGACATCGATGTGAGAGAGACACATCGACTATTTGCCACCCACATAACCCCAACCGTGCCAGGGACAAACTGCAACCAAGATACGTGCCGTTAGTGGGAACCAAACTCAGGACTCTCCGGTCCGTGGGCTGACACTCTAACTGCTAAGCCAAACTGGCCAGGGCAAAAACTTTTTATCTTTTATGTAGTTTTAGGCATTACCCTATGGTAATAATTATTATGTGTGTTTAAACAGTATAAAAACATTTGAAAAATAGAAAATGCATATAAATATATTATTTAAATGAGGAAAGTATTGACTCCCATATTTGTACCCTTTCATAATTTAAGAAATTTTTTTTTTTTTTTTTTTTTTATCCTCACCCGAGGACATTTTTGCATTTTTTGTTCAGACAGAGCAGGAGGGAGAGAGAGGAAGAGAGAGAGAGAGAAACATCAGTGTGAAGGGACACATTGAGTGGTTGCCACCCGCATGACCAACCAGGGCCGGGGACAAACTGCAACCGAGGTACGTGCCCTTAGCGGGAACCGAACCCGGGTCTCTCTGTACCGCAGGCCGACGCTCTAACCGCTGAGCCAAACCGGCCAGGGCAAGAAATTTTTTAAAATTGTGGGAAATATATAGTTTATATAATTTAATGCATAATGAAACAAGAACAGTGATTAGTTTTGAAAATATGTTACTTTCATGGTCCAGCTAGAGTTTTAGCACCTTACAAAATAAAATTCCACAGAGTAAATAAGTTCTTTTAAAAAATATTTTTATGTCCTGGCCAGTTTGGCTCAGTGATTAGAGCGTTGGCCCGCAGACCAAAGAGTCCCAGGTTCGGTTCCCACTAAGAGCACATACCTCGGTTACAGTTTGTCCCAGCCCCGGTTGGGGTTGTGTGGGTGGCAGCCATTCAATGTGTCTTTCTCATATCAATGTTTCTCTCTCTTCCTCCCACTCTATCTGAAGGTAAATGCAAAAAAAATGTTCTCAGGTGAGGATAAAAAAATTAATAAACATAATAAAATTATTTTTATTAACTAATTTTCAAAGCAGTTATTGGACATGTAAAATTTTTAAGTGGAATTACAAAAACTGTTAATATTGCAGTTTTTCTTTAATCACAGTTTTCTATAGGTAGAATGGATACCCATTTGCAAACTAACATAATATCTACTTTTCTAAATATTTGATTGCAGAAAAACTAGTGAAAGTAAGTTTTAGCATCGTCCATTGTAGGCGAATCTTAATTGTAAAGGCAATTTCACACACACCTATGCTGCTGGAGAAAGCCCTCACGCGTCTGTCAGCACTTGAATGACAGCAGCAGCGTTTTCTCTCTCGGAGTAGAAAAAGGAGGGTGTGCGGACATAAGTCCATAATAGTTCGGGGATATGATGACAGTTTGAGGTTCTTTGGAAGATAAGGTTTTAAAAATATTATTTAATATAATAATGTACATAGGCTGTCATAAATACTTGCTCAATTTAATTTCAGATGACTTACAAATCTTTTGTAGATGCTTATAGCATCATACATTACCTTTCCATGCTATAAGCATCATACATTACCTTGATTTATAGGTTCATTTGGAAAGCACTGTCAATCTAAAATATGCTTTCTAAAATGTGGTATGTGCTTCTTAAAATTCTGTCCTGTTTCTTTTTCTTTCTGTTTCTTCTTAGCTTCTTTCTATGTATTGTCTTTTTCTACTTGCCACTTAAGTGTTGGTATTTCCTAAGATTCTGTCCTATGGTCTCTTTCCATGCCAAATATTCTAGATTATGTAGGCAATTTTATTCATTCCCATGGTTTCCCCAATGTCTTCTACTTGTGATACAGGATGAAGGGGGGGAGGGGCTCTTCCCCATTGGGTGCTGCTGGGGGGTGGACTTCTTATAATATCCTGAGAAAAAGAATTTTCTGAGACTCCCACAGGAGAACGAGTGATTTTTATTTGTGTGGAATTACATCCCTGGGTTTCCAAAGTCCCATTTCCCTTAGTCCAGTCACAGAAGAAACATAACTGGGGTTTCAGTAGAGCTAGAAGCAAAGTCAATGTCCAGAGATTCCTTTCCATGTTGGAGCAGGGTCCAGCACAGCATTAGGCTAGTTGCAGGCTGTTAGTCCATGGTATATGTGGGTCCTCATGGCCATGGGCCACACAGGAGAATGCCAGGAAGCCAAGCATGCTACAAGGAACCAAGACAGTGAACTTCTTTGTTCAGAGGATTATATAGCCCAAATTTCCCTGTGCTTGCAGCGGCTGTGTCCAGTCTGGCCAATGATCTCTGTTTACAGGTGTGATTGACAGCAAGCATCTTCCCTAGTCATCTCAACTTTCCCGAGCATGTGTCTATCTTCCCTTTGTCCAGTCCCCATCCCCCAGTGTTTTGCAGGGAACATGCCTGTAATATCTGGCTTTCCCTTTGCTCCTTTCCTATTATTAAATAATTAGCTAATTATGACAGTATCACTTGAACCTTTATTCTCAACTCTCAATATATGCCCAGTTACCTCCATAACACCTCTTGATGTCTCAGGTAATCCAACAGCATGTTCAATATGAAACCCATCTTACATTTCCAACCAATTGTCCTAAGGTAAAAAAAAAGGATACATATGTATACATATATATATGGACTATAGGTGCTCCTTTTCCTGTTTTGAAAAACCCACTGCTAATAAGTAGCAGGCCTGGACTTTAATTCAAGTCTTCTGAATGTGAATCCTAAGCTCAGAATGTACTGTCTGTAACATGGTGACCTTATTTTCTGAACCAAAATTTGATATTTGTGGTCCAGCAATATTTGAAGTCTGAACTTGTTATTGTAATTATAGCACATTGCTTTTTCTTTTTTCTTTTTTTTATCCTCACCCGAGGACACCTTTCCATATTTTGTTCAGATAGAGTGAGAGGGAGAGAGAGAGAAACATCAACGTGAAAGGGACACAGCAAGTGGTTGCCAACTGTACAACCCAACCAAGGCCTGGGACAAACTGCAACCGAGGTACATGCCCTTAGTGGGAACCGCAGGCCAATACTCTAACCACTGAGCCAAACCAGCCAGGGCTATAGCACACTGATTTTTCATGTCACTTTACTAAATCATGGGCACTAATAGCAATACATATCATGTAAAGTTGCAATTATGGTAAGTACAAGACATGTAGTATGAGGTACACTGTGCATACATACATGTGCATGTGTAATTTGACCTAATTAGGGAGAGCAGATAATGCTTTCCTTGCAAGTGATGATTAAATTCAATGTGAGGGTTGAGGAGTTCACCAGGCAGGTTTGGAGTAGAGAGAATGGAAGAGTGTTTTCATGTAAGGCAGGTGTGATAGCTTTCACAAAGACCTAGTGATAGTAGGTGCATGCTATGTGTGTGCAGCTGTTTGTGCAAAGAAATGTGCAATCTTGTTAGAGATTTTTTCCCCCTTTCAGTTCTTCTTTCCCCCTTTCTTGCTCTCTTACTCTAAAAAATATTTGAAGCTGAAATGTATATTAAATAGGGAATAGTAGAAAACAAAATGTAACTGCTTTTCAAACTGTATGGTAGACAGAGATTTGAATTAGAAGAACCATGGGATTTAATGAGTAAACATACTCAGGATATATCTATAATGCAACACCAAGAAGTAAAAGGTTTTGTGATGGTTTTGTTTCTACTTTTGTTACCTAAAATCACACCAGCTCTTATAATCACTGCTCTGATAACCTTTTGATAAACCAGGGAATAACTAAATGATGAGTAATACATTTCAAAATCTTTGCTTAAATTTTAAGTGACCTATTTTCTAAGTGCATCTTTTACTATGAGATTTAGTATTCCATATAATCTGTCATTGTGTGTTTGAGAATTAATTCAGACTGTGGAAATTCTATTAGACTTGTAAAGTGACGTTTGAACTACACTGAAAAACTCTCTGGTTTGTGGCATTCTTTCATTCTGTTTTATATACATATGTATTATCCTTCAAAGGTAGTTGTGAAGTTTGGTCCTTAAAACATTTCTTCAGCTGCTCTTACCCAATTCTTGAAAAAGAACATTGTATTCTAGGTGTAGGAAATTATTTTCAGTGTTTTATAACTTCCTGTAGTCTCTTTAAAAACTGAGTTTATATCTACTTTTCTTTGCAGAAAGGGCTATTGCAAGACATGAAGTCCGGGAAATTGAGCAACGTCATACATTGGATGGCCCTCGGCAAGATGCAGCTTTAGATGAGGAAGAGGATATGGTGATCATTTATAACAGAGTCCCCAAAACTGCAAGCACCTCTTTTACCAATATTGCCTATGACCTGTGTGCAAAGAATAAATACCATGTTCTTCACATCAACACTACCAAAAATAATCCGGTGATGTCACTACAAGATCAGGTAAACCACTTAAGGAGTGCATGTTTGGGGACAAAGCATTTTAAGAGATATGTGTGCTAATCCCAAATAAGTCTGTTGGGAGAAGGGAACAACCATATTCTTTTCTAATTTTACATTCTTCACAGTATTTGGTACATTTCCTTGCATATAGTATATATTCAAATACATGTGAAATAAATGAATTAATAGCTTGAATTTTTAAGGAGAAGATTGATGCTCTTTAATATGGTATTTTTTAAACATATATTTTATTATTATCAAGATACCCTACAATGGAAAACATTATATTTTCTCAACTTATGATAGCAAAATCTTTATTTGATTAATACCTGTATTCTGTATGGATTAATTTTTATGTATTTTATCTTATCTTTACTAGTAATTTATATAAATATTAGCATAAACTTTTGGAAAACAGACATTGTGTCTTATATTTTAACATAATCTTGCCTTTTAAGTTGTCATACTTTAGATAAACAGATGGATAGGTAATTATAGGAATAGTTTTAAGAAAAGTGGAAGAAATTATCTCATGAAATTTAGTCACCTCTTAATCAGTAATAGTACACATTTTCTCCACATCTGAAGTTCTAACTATGATTATAAATAAATACAGTTCTTTCTACAAGTATTGAAGAGAATGGGTATTGAGCCAGGTAAGAAGAAAAGATAATATTTGAAATACTATCTAGGGTTAGATACGTATTGGGGTAGCCTTATTAGAAAGATATTTGTGATACTCATAAAATGTATCTATTTGAAAGCAGGTGAATTTGTTTTATTAGTTGCAAAATTGACTCTGTTATCCTATTATTTAGCATATCTATATGCAAGAGAATAACATTGAAGCAAGACAATAACATTGATGCATAGACTTTCTTGCTAGAGAGCTGTTGATAAAGGTCAACAGTATATGGCATATCATCTGCCCATGTAATTCTTGGCTCTCTGCAGCATCCTCAATTACTCTTTTTCATAGAACCAAAAATCTACATCTGTCGCTTAGGCCAGTTTGGCTCAGTGGTTAGAGTGTTGGCCTATAGACTAAAGGGTCACATGTTCAATTTCGGTCAAGTGCATGTACCTCTGTTGCAGTTCGGTCCCCAGCCCTGGTCAGGTGGTGTCTCTCTCACATCGATGTTTCTTTCTCTCCCCCCCCACCCCCCCTTTGTGCCCCACTGTATGTGAAGATGAACGGAAGAATATCCTTGGGTGAGGATTTTTTTAAAAATCTACATCTGTCAGCTAAACCAAATAACGTGTCTATAAATGAGAAGAAACATGAGCTTATTTAGCTAAGTGGGTCATAAAAACTATTCATTATGTAATATTGTATACCTAAAGGCAAGTATCCTAAATAATCAGTTTTTACATAATATGGTACATTTTAAATCTATTTGCATGATTGCTTTTCAGAACATATCTTGGCTTAAAAGGAACATTTCTTAATGCTCATATAATTTTATATTTCTTTAGTAGTATTTTTTAGAAAGATAAAGTTAGCTTGCTTGTTCAATATTTAAAGTTGTTTTGTGTCCAGCATTACCGAGTTCTCTGGCAGCTACAAGATGTCTGACAATGACATCGACCATATTTTTTAGGAAATATAAATCTGCAGAAGCTTACCAAATTTGACATTTATAGGCATCATGTAGTGGTATATTTTCCCAGTTGCATTTGGATGAGATAAAACTTCTGTTTTTCTTTCAATAGCTTGCTAGTGATAGGGAGGGGAAAACAGCAGAAGAGAAGCGTAAACACTATCTGAAAAGCAATTGGATTACATAATGAACAATACTTAAAATATATTTGTATGGGGAGAGGAGAGGAATAGTCTTAATCATTAGCGAACATACTTCAAAATGGCAGCTGGTGGTCGAGAACCTGCTTTTAATTAGGAACAGCTTACACACCAAATGTTCTCTAATTCACCATATCTAAGTTCCTTACTGGGCTCTTGCTATATATAGAAGCAATTGTTCAGACAAGTTATAGTTACTGCTTCCCTCTCCTGTACATGACATATTAGATAACATTTTTTATTCAATCTAGTAAACATTTTTTTAATTAAAAATATTTTTTCTTTATTGACTTTAGAGAGAGAGGAAGGGAGAAGGAGAGAGAGATAGAAACATTGATGAGAGAGAACCTCCTGCATGCCCCCCACTGGGGATTGGGCCCACAACCTGGGCATGTGCCCTGATCAGGAAACAAACCAGCGACCTCTTGGTACATGGGTTGATGCTCAACCACTGAGCCACACCGGCTGGGCAGTAGTAAACTTTATTTAAATGTAAACTTCTAAATTATACTAGATGTCTTGAAACATTTTTTTAAATATTCCAAGAACCTTATTTTGCATAACATACTTTGATTTTAATACCATACTTTTGTTCTTGTGTGCTGTCCTCAACTGCTTTGTAATTCAAATAGGAATTAAATGACCTATTTTGCTCTTATTTCTTCTCTGAGAAATAGTTTCTAATCAATATCTGACTGAAATGAGACTTTAAAAAATTAGATTTTTTAGCCCAGCCAGTGTGGCTCAGTGGTTGAACATCGATCCATGTACCAAGAATTCTATTCCCAGTCAGGGCACATGCCAGGTTGTGGGTCCAATCCCCAGTGGGGGGCATGCAGGAGGCAGTGAATTAATGTTCTCTCTCATCAATGTTTCTATTTCTCTCTTCCTTCCTCCCCTCTCTAAAATCAATAAAGAAAAAATATATTTTTATTAAATCTGCCATTGTCTCAATCTTTCATTTAAAGCCCAATTTACTCATAAAAATATTTTGGGATATAATAGGTAACCACTCTGTTTATTCCCTCACCTTCCAACCTTAGTAGTTCAGTCAGCTTAATATCTGCTTTTACTCCTAGCTCTTTCCTAGATGTATTTTGTACATACTATACTAGGCATTGCGCTAAACTGCTTACATGTGTAATTATTTCTCTCAAAAATTTTAGAGGCAAAGCTCAAATATTTTTAGTTTAGTACAAAATTATTCAATGTGTAATAGTTATACATATTCTGCTATTTTAGAAACAGTTGTTAACTCTGCTTTTAAGTTTTCATTTACTAAGTATGTAATATACAGAGAGATTGTGCTAAGGCTTTGGGGAAACAGCAAAGAAAAAAAAGAAAGGCTACATCTTTCAGGGAGCTTATTTATAATTTACTTGAGAATATAAAACACAGACACAGGAGCTATGAGGACTATTCAAAGAAAACATCAGGATATGGTGTCCTCACCAAAATGTTTAACCAAAAATATTTCTCACCCAAGTATTTGACAGAGACCTTATCTTGAGGAAACAGGCTGATTCGTGTTGAACAACTGTTCTGAACTCTTTTGAAGTGTCAATGTCATGACAACCAAAAAGTCAGGGTCGGGGGTTGGGTCGGCTAGTCTTCTCTAGACTAGAGGAGACTAAAGAGAAAGGAAAGCCAAATATAATGTGATCAGTGATTGGATCCTTGATCAAAAGTGTCTGCTACTTGCTTCCAAATGGTTCAGGAAAAATTGTATGTGTAGATATAGATATAGATACAGATTTAGATTTAAATTTAGATATAGATATAGATATATATCTCTATATATAGAGATTCAACTTCTCTGTAGATAAGGAATTTTTCAAAATTAAGAAGGTAGAATAAAATAAGAAAGTTAGAACAAGGAGATTAAAAGATAGACATTTGAGAACGTAAGACATGAGAATACTAAGTAATAAGAATAAGGCAGACTAAGTCATGAGAAGTGTGTTTTTGAGATGGGCTTTATTCAGTTGGCAGGAGACAGGTACTCAGTCAGCTGTTCTAACTGGAAAATGAAGTTTACTCTGCTATCATGAAAATACCTCTGTATTAGAGAATGTCTTGTCTTTAAGATAACTATGTCAAATAGTAAGTGGTACTATCTTTTATGATATTTTGTAATTCTTTTCTGCTCTCATATATTTAGGTCTGTGATTATATTTTACCCCTTTCTGTTAAGACATTGAAAATACATAGAATTTGCATTCTGTGTAGACAACACAGTAATTTTTTGTTCTTTTAATTCACTGTTAAGCCAGCTTCTGGTCATTTGTTCTCTTGGTTTGATATCAGTTGTGCATACTGGTTTTTCAGCAAAGCACTTTAGATGAATACTTCTCAACCTCTAATGTGTATCTAATCACCAGTTAAAATGCAGAGTCTAACTCAGAAGGACTAAGATGCGGCCTGATATTCTGAATTTTTAAAAAGCTCTGTTGCGTTGAAATCTCCTTAGAAGGTAATCTAAAATAATCTATGAAACCGGCATCCATACATGGAGGGCAGGGAGAAGCAGGAGGCCTTAACCGGGTTTTGTCATGTACCGTCCAGATGGTTGTATCATCACATCTCTATCTCAAGGCTGTGTCTTTGGGTAGCTTCTAACACAGGGAAGGCAAGCAGGGCACATGTTCCAAGCCCAGGGGAAGGAGTGGGAGCTTCCACTTGCCCCTGACCAGCTTGTGAGTCAAACCAGCAGTCGTGTTTTCTTTTTATTTATTTATTTTTATTGATTGATTTTAGAAAGAGACGGAGGGAGAGAGAGAGAGAGAGAGAGAGAGAGAGAGAGAGATAGAAATATCAATGAGAGAATATCAGTTGGCTACCTGGGCATGTGCCCTGACCAGGAACTGAACCGGCGACCTCTTGGTGCATGGGTCAACACTCAACCACTAAGCCACACTGACCGGGCTTTTTTTTCCTTTAGACTTTAGAGTCATGTCTTCTTGATGGCCTTCCCCAACAACTTCTACCTGATGTCAAAAACTGTTGCTTCTGGGTCTTGAACCACAGTTGGAATAGCAAAGATCTAGAACATGATTCTCAGTGGGGTTATGGGAACATGTGTATTATAATCTTCTCAGAATGGTGAGGTACTAATATCCAACAAAATCCAAATTCCTTACCTAGACCAACAAGCCCTTTTTAGTCAAGTCCTTGTCCTGTGCTCTGACCTCTTATTTAC